TTATTCTGGTTAGTTTTTGGAGATGGGAGGTCTCACTTTTTACCCAGGCTGGCCTCAAACCATGATCCTCTTGATCTTGGCCTCTCAAGTAGCGAGGATTACAGGTATGAGCCACTGGTACCCGGCATAGGGAGTATTTTTAGCAAGGGCACTGAGACAGCTACAAAGTCCAGTGCAGCAGTGGCCCTAGGATTTCTGCTAACTGTCTCTAAACCTCATGGTCATTTCTAGATCTTTCTCTCATCTGCATCCCGGCCAGTGGAAGGGAATCCCAAGAAGGACATCCGATGGCTGACACACCAGACACATTCATCTGAGAGTGGGTTTGTCTTAGCCATTGGGCTCCCTGGCTCTGAGTCTCTGAACTAACTTTTGACATGTGAAAGTGTGGGAAGGGAAGAAATCTGACTGACTCAGAAAATGTCTCCATTGAGTCTCCCTTCTGAGCACATTTTCCTTAGTCACATTAGCCTCCGCAGTGGGCCTCTCTGGCCAGGCACTGCCTGCCCAGACTTTAACCCTGCTGCCAGGGCTGGGGGGCTGGCGAGGCCCCAGGTCTCCCTGTCCATTAGACCATTTCTAACAGGCGTTCCGAAGGGCGCCATGACTGCAGCCTTTTTGTGCTGCTCTGTGGTTGCCGCCCCCAGACGCTGTCTGCCTGCTCAATCAGGCCAGATGGCCAGCTCTCCTCCCAGTGCCCTGGCCACCAGGGCTCCAATGGCAAGTGAGACCGCCCTGTCCCTTCATCCACAAGCTCATGAATGGCCTGTCCTCCAGGTCCCTGCCAAGGTCATAGGCCAGTTAAGGCCAGTTCTGTTTGTCTAAGCATGGGAGGCCCCTCATTAACCGCTGCACCCCAGGAGCTGGCTTGTGGGGTGCTATGCTAAGCAAGGAAACATCCTTCTCTCTCCTGCTGGCGCTGTGGAAGGTCACAAAGAATCTCCTCCTCATGCACCCCCATCCCAGGCCAGCCTCAGGAAGGAGCATCTTCACCTGGTTGGGGCAGTGACCTGGCCCACATGTGGGTTCAGACGCTGACAGTGCTGGGGTTCACCTCTGTAACTTGGGGCTCTTCTGGGCTTCAGTGTTCTTCTGACAAGTGGAAAATGACACCTGCTTTACAAGGTCACTGAGGGTCAACCATGGGCAGTGCTGTGACCAGGGCAAGGCAACTGGTGCATGGGAGAAGATGGATAAACAGTGTTTCCATGAGCCTTGTCCCTTTTACTGAACTCTCTGGTGATGGGAGGCCCAGATTGTCTGATCTTTTGACATGGGACAGTCATGCCGACTCCCCTGGTCAAGGCAACAGCTTTCTTTTTTTTTTTGGCAGTAACAGGGTTTAAACTCTGGACCTCAAGATTGCCAGGCAAACACTCTATCACTTAGCCACAAGCCCAGTCCTTTTGCTTTTATTAGTTTTTTCAGATAGGGTTTCATGCTTTGGCCTAGGTCTCAGACCATGAACCTAGTGGGAATTATAGGTGTGCACCACTGTGCCCAGCCTTAAGACTAGAACCTCCTACCCTTTGCTCAGAAGCTGCCAGTTGACTGTAATGTGGCCTGGATGTCCCTCTGCTCGGTGGCCTCAGCTCCTGGCACAAAGTGGGGGCTCAGAACAGACACTGAACAGAAGCCTTTGCCAGGACACTATAAACAGAGGTGCAGGCAGGGCAGGGATCGTGGAAGTCATCTGTCCAACCTTCTGTGACCTCTGGCATGAGGATACCCAGCCCGCCTGCCTCCCTCCTGCCCTTGTGACTGAGGCTCATTCCTCCTGAGGATGCTTGTTCCATCGCCAAACAGCTACCATGGTCCCATATGTCTTCTGCCAACTGACCCAAAGACTGCATCCTGCATCCTCTGCTACGGAGAGCAGCCAGCCCGCCCCCTGCCATCTCCTTCCCAGCTGATCCTGGGTCACCCCACTGCTCTGTGGGGTGAGGCCCTGACTGTGGGGCACCTGCTTCAAAAGCCGAGGGTGCATGAGTAGATAACCTCAGGCACGTGCACGTGTCCAGGCTGACCTGTCCACTGTCCTGGATACACATGCTCTGCAAAAGCTACTGCCTGATGGCAGCCACACTCTCACCCTTCCAGCTCTTTGGGGCACTTTTCACCAGGACCCCCACTCCCTGCCTGCACAGCCCTCCTAGATGGCCACAGTGACAGCTCTCCTGAGCTTTCCCGAGCTTTGGGCAATGAGGCCCACTGGCTCTGCCTGGACTCTTCTTGCTAGACTAGAAGCACAGGACAAGGTCCACTCACTGTGACCACCTGTCCAGGGTCCACTGTGACACGTGGCTTCCTGGGCTGCAGCAGCATCCAACCTGCCTGGTCAAGACTCATTGGAGAAGTTGGGTCAGGTGCAGCTTCCTGAAAGTGGTGGCCCTGAGATCTGTGCCGGGTCAGGGATCACACCTGGACTTCAAGGGCAAAGAGTGGGCAGTGGAAGCTGGGGTGTGGCTCAGTGGTAGAGCACTTTTGTAGCATGTGTCAGGCCCTGAGTTCCAGTCTCAGCACCACAAAAAAAAAAGAAAGAAAGAAAAAGAAAAAGAATGTGTGGGGTCTGGGTGGGGGAGGGGGCAATGGAGTAAGAACTGCACTCTTCACTGCCCCCTGGAGGGTGTCCAGGATCCTTGTTGGGCATGGGATTCCTGATACAGCACTGTTTGGTATTCTTCTTCTTTTTGAGATCGTCTCACTATATGGCCTCAAACTCAGGTTCCTCCTGCCTCAGCTTCCTGAGCGTTGGGATTACAAGTGTGTACCACCATACTCAGCACAGCACAGTACATCTTATTTATGGGAGAGGTGGAAGAACAGGTCCCATTAACCCCAAGTCCTACCAGCAATTCCACTTCTAGGCAAATGCCCCAAAGAGCTGAAAACATGGTCAAACGAGCTCTGGCTTGGGACTGTCCTCAGAAATACCATATGTGACGGCCAAAAGGTGGAAACCACCCAAGTGTTCCCCAGCAGGTGAATGGATACAACAGTGTGGTATAGACATACAATAGAATGTTATTCAGCCTCAAGAAGGAAAACTGACACGTGATATAACAGGACCTTGAAGACATCAGACTTTATACTCCATGAAGTAAGGCTGTCACAGAAGGTCACATATATATATCCATTTCTATGAAACCCCCAGGACAGACCAAGCCATACAGACAGAAAGCAGACTGATAGCTGCTTGGGGAAGCCATGATGGCTCCCATGACACCAGCATGGAGGACACATGGGAAGCAAATCAAAGGGGGAGAAGTGGATGGGAATGACCCAATGGGGACAGTGCCCCTTTTCAATTCAATGAAGATGCTTTGGAAGCAGACAGATGGTGACTGCGCAATGAACTACAGGTCAGAATGGCACATTTTATGCTATATTATGCTTGCTTTGTAACAACAAACCCAGGTCAGATCCCTTTGCAGGAGACAGGAGTCCTGGGAATAGGTCTGAGCTGCTGTCATGGTTTGGATACCAAGTGTCTTCCAAAAGGGCTCCTGTGTTGAGGGCTTGATCCCCAGGTGGAACTAATCCTTGAGAGGTAGTTGGATCCCAAGGGCTCTGACTTCATCAGTGGGTTAATCCCTGATGGATTCCTAGCGTGACAGCACTACTGGGAGGCGGTGGGACGCAGGAGACACGGTCTAGGAGGAGGGAGTAGGTCACTGGGAAAGATTTACCCTGGCCCTGGCCCCTTCCTGGTCACCATGAGGTGAGCTGCCTCTGAACATGCTCCAACCAGCTTGATGTTCTGCCTTGCCACAGGCCCAAAGCAATGAAGCTTTCAGACCTTGGACTGAAACCTCTGAAACTGTGAGCTAAAATGAATCTTTCCTCCTTTAAATTGCTTCTCTCAGGCATTTGTCACAGCAGCAAAACATTCTGGCTAACACAGCTGTGCACAGCAGACTGCCTAGGACTGGGGAGGAGCCCAGGGTAGTGTGTGGGACCCTTCCCAGACTGGCCCTCCTTGGAGAGGATCTGGCTGCTGGCTTTTCAGAGAGGCCCCATGACTGGCTGTCCAGCAGAACCGGTGCAGGACCCTCACAGGTGACAGTCACACATCTGTTCTTATTTCTGTATCACATATAGACCCCAGAGCCTCACATCTAGGAAGGGCCTCTTTTGGGGTGGGGTCCCCACGGCAGTCCTTCCTCACGGTTCTCTGCCTTAGCATGGCATCAGTGCTATGCAGGGAGACTGGGGCTTGTGATGGAAACAAAGCAACCCAGAAACTTCCTGCCTGGGGACAGATAGAACCAGAGACGCTGATGTCACAAGGGCCAGAAAAGAGATGCAGCTTGTCGGGCTATTTAGAAATCCTCTGGTCTGCAAAGTACCTCATCCCAGCAGGCCCTAACACAGCCTCAGCCCCACCCTGAGTTACAGAGAGAAGGGACACAGAGACCCAGGGATGTCCCTGTAGCAGGTATTGCTTGAATATGGTCCTTGTGTCAGCCACACCATCACAACAAACCTGCCATGTGCCTTGCTTAAAAACTCTGCCTGCTGGGGATTACGCCCATCCAGAGGAATGCATCCCCTCTTAGCCAAAACTCCAACTGAGCAGAAAAGCAGGAATGAACGTAGAACACATAGACGGGGAGGGGGGCCCAGAGTCGGGGCACCTTAAGCACTCCCCTGGAGGGATGCCCCACCTATCAGCTCCTGGGCCCACTCTGGTCATCCGCACATCTGTGCTGCTTTCTCCTCCACAGTGCCACGCTCCCTTCCTCCTGGAAAGCCTGCTGACTTCTCCATGGGGCCATCTCCTCAGTGTGCTCTCACTCAAAGGGAACCACAGGTGGCATGCAGGATACCTCTGTAGCAGGTTTTCTGGAAGTCAGTGGCTTCCATGACTCCAGCATGAGGGACACACTAGAAGCAAAGCAAAGTGGTCCAAGAGCTCCACACAGGACGGCCCAGCATGTGCTCGGGAGGCATTGGCACCTTTGCCCGCAGGTCATGGTGGAGGACGAAGCATGTCTTACCTGGCCGCGTCAAAGCTGTCATAGGAGCCCACCGTGTAGTGTCTGAAGAGTTTCTTACTGCGGTCCGCACGAGTTTCTGTGCAGAGGGAAAAGAAACCCCGTTTAGAAAAGTCGTGTTCCACATGGTGAACTCAATGAGACTATGGGCTCCCACTGGTCTGCCCCATGCAGCGTGAGACCTGCTCTCTCAGGGAGAGACCTGGGGAGAAGATGAGAACTGATTCTGGGGCCTGACACTGCAAAATGTGGGGTGCCCATGGAGCCAGTGCTCCACAAAGTTGGAGGGCTCCATCCTAGACTGCAGACAGCAGGCTGCTGGCTCGGCTCATGGAGGGCAAGGGAAGCTCTGTGGAGTAGAGAGCCGGGCACATTCCAGCTGCAATAGTGACAGCTGTCTTGCACATGGACGCTATTAGTCCAGCAGTGGGAAACCGCGCTGCCCAGGTGACCTGGACGGCTGAGCCTCCTTGCCCATCTGAGAACCTGCAGGTGACTGACTGAGTGCCTTTGGGGAAAAGATATGTTTATTGTGATTTTCGTGATTACAGTTGCTTTCTCCTGTAAAAACAAAACAACAAAAACCCCACTAAACCAACATGATTAGTGCTCCTAATTAAGTTCTCTGCTTGCTTCCCTTACTCAGCAGATTGATAAGTAAATCTCACGGGAAAAGACATGAGTGGTATAATTAGGGGCGGGAGGGGGGACCCCACAACAACACAAACACAGGAAATGCAGTAGCTCATGACTGCTGCTTACGTATTTGCCTCTGAAATAAGATTTCCTGTACCATCTCCTTCCTAAATCCTGCAAAATTTTGGGAAAAATGAAGCAACTGGCTTCAGGAAAATATCCTGAAATCTATCTTGGGCAGTAAGCGTCTCTGTGGTCAGTTTCTTCTGCTATGTGCTTCAAGGTTAAGGTTTTTACTCAAACCCCTAAAAGACACACGTGGATCCAAAAGTAAACACTGGGAAGGGTACTGAGAAAGTTCTGGTTCTTTTCTGCCTAGAGGCATGGAAAGCACAGGCAACCTTCCTATAGAACCTGAGAGTTACCCTAGAGTTGAAGGAGGCCGGTGTGGGCCCAGGACTACATTTCCCAGCTGCCTTTGCACTGGAGCGTGATCATGTGACTAGTTCCTACCAATAGGATGAGCACAGTGTTGGAGGGGCTACTTCTAAACCTAGGCCTTTTAGAAACCCTTGTGCGTTCTCTCCTCTCCTTTCCTGCTCAAGGCTCAGGACCTGAGGCCCTAAAGTAGGATGTTCACAGATGGAGTCGAGGCCTGGGGCGCTCATCAGAGTGAGCAAGAGTTATGCACTGTGCATTACAAGAACAAAAATTAACCCTCCTCTGCCTTGTGGGTTTGTTACTATAGCCAACATCATCTTAACTGACAGGTGAGGGAACAGGGGTCCTACTGGCTCCCACCTGCCTGTCCACTCCCTCCACATCTCTTCCCCAAACACTGTGTCACTGCTGTCGTTATCGCTGACACTCATCAAGCACTCCTGTGTACCAGGCCCACTCTAAGTGCCATGTGTGTCCCATTACTTAACTGCCATGCTCACCCGGTGAGGGGAGCACGTGCTGCTCTGTGGCCCCTCTGCCACTCTTTGAAGCCTGGTTTGTGGCTGTGGGTGCCTTCCACGAGGAGAGCATCTCATTTAAGTTTAAGGAGCCCTGCTATTTTAAATGTCTGCCTGTGTTGATCGGATCGCTAATCAAGCACCAGGTACTCTGTTATTGAAGTAGCACAGCATGCAGAAAATGCGCTCACAATCAGCAAATGTCTTTTCACAAAGCAAATCAAAGGCAAAGGCATTTCCCAAACAAAATAAGCAATTTAAGTTTTAAGAAATGTGGGACGTCACACAATAAACAAAAGCGAAGGTGCCTATAATATAAATTTGTCATTTTGTTATACTCCATATAATAAAAGGATATTCAGATAAAAATTATGGACCAGAGAGTTAAATAGTGAATGGGCCACCATCCTCTGCTTAGGTCTGTCCCTCTTGCATGGTCACTGACTCCATTGTAACCTACTTCTTCGGCACCATATTTTCTGGCTATCTGGGCACATGGAGGGAGAGGGAATGACTGGACCCATTTTGTGAATGACAATAGTAAGGGCTACCAAGACAAAGTCTCACACCCACTGTGTGGTTGGGCCAGGCTTAGCACCTTGGCCAGCGTCCACCTCATATCCACTAGGTTGCATTGCCTGACCCCTGGGCCAGGGTGTGAATGCCCGGTGTTCTTTCTAGGGCTCAAGAAGGGGATGTGGCCTTATTTCTGTGTCTCTTCTGCTGCCGTGGTCTGGTGTGTCTCCCAAAGTTATCTGCAAGTGGCAGTTGGAGGCAGGGCCTTTGGAGATGATCAGGATTCGATGAGTTCATGAGGGTGGAGCCCCTGAGGGACAGTGGCTTAATAAGAACAGAAGAGAGACCTGAGCTGGCATGCTCACTAAGTCTCCCCAGTGATGCCCTTGTACCACCCAGGGACTTTGCAGAGTCCCCACCAGTAAGGAGGTCCCGAGCAGATGTAGCTCCTTGACCTTGAACCTCCAGAATCATGAGTTGAACAGGCCTGTATTCTTTATAAATTAGCTAGTCTGTGTCTTTGGTTACAGCCATAGAAAAAGGAGTGAAAGGCCTGCTGTCCAGCTCTGAGCAGACACAAGGCATCAGTGTTTCCTGGTCTAATACAAAGGACCCATTGCACAAGCAACTAAAAACGCCCACACAACCTCAGAGTGGGTAGAGTGCACTGGGTGCTCACCAGGATGGGCACTGGTCCAGCCACGCTGTGCACACCTCCCCCGTGCTTGGCTTCTGGACCAATGTGGCCAGGTGTGCCTCCCCAGCACTCTGTGCCCACTTCACATTCCACTGCAGTCATATGCAGTTCACTGAGACCCAGGCCCCGGGCCCAAGGGCAGGGATTAGAAGGGTGACCCTGGGGGCAGAGCCTCAGGATCCTGTGGGTGGGGAAGGAAGGAGCCCATGTCTGCTGGCTTTCCATGGTTGGGCAAGGGGCCCAGCCATCAGATCACTGTGGTGGGAATGGAAGGCAGCCCATGCGGCTGCCAGGCTAGCCCTGGGACATCAATATCGGGGTCACATGTGTGCGACTTATCCTAGAGGGAGAAGTGAGACTTGAACTTTTTGTGGGGTTAAGCACAGTGGCTCACAAAGCTACAGAAGGACCCCAGGGCTGCTAATTGCTGGTGTTCCTCTTAATTGCTTTGGTTGCTTGAGCCCCCGCGAGGCAGCTCTGCACTGGTTGTCTAGGAGACCGCTGGGCTCTGAGAACTGACTGGTGCAGGTGCCCAGCTGGTGAGAGGGCCCAGGGCCCAGGAGCAGAGAGGACAGTGGGTAGCGGACCTGTGAGTGTGTGTGACTGTGTGTGTGAGTGTGAGTAGATAGTGAATGTGTGTATGTGTGTGTACATGAGACTGTATAAGCGTGAATGAGTGAGTGTGTGCATGTGTTTACCAGAGGAAGGAAACTTTTCAGAAAGGAACCATTTCTAGGCCAGGTGACTTCATGGACTGATAGTGTTTTCCATGATGTATGGGGATGAAAAGCAGCATAATAAAGTTCTCCGAGATCTGAAGTTGATTGTGTGCACATTGAAACAATTAGCTCTTTTGTTCACATGTGGAATCTAGGCCTGAAAAGTAACATGACAGGATTGGGAACGGGGGACCGCCTGGGGGATCAGGTAAGAGGTGGACCTATATCATATATATGTACGCAAATAGCATAATGAAAACTGCCCCAAACTATTTTTTGGGCAGTAATGGGGTTTGAACTCAGGGCTTCATGTCTGCTAGGCAAGCGCTCTACCATCTGAGTCACGCCTCCATCCCCTAAAAACTAATAAAAGTGGGGGGAGAAGAGGTTCAGAAAGAGCAATGAAGTGGGGTGAATTTGATGAAAATATCACAATGAAACAAATCCTTTGTGCAATTTATGCTAATAGAAACTTAGATAACTCTTTCTTATAGTTGGGGATGTGATTCAAGTGGTAGAAAACCTGCCTAGCAAGACCCCGAGTTCAAACCTCAGTACCACCAAAAGAATCTTTCTTGATACAATTCCCCTCTGCTGTAACAATTATTTTACAAGAGAAAAGGGAAACCTTGAAGAAAAAGTCACCTCTGACTGCCTTGTGAAACTTACACTACACAGGCCTTCCTGCCCTCAGGCTCCCACACAGGATCACGTCTGCTCTGAGATATGGTCTCCAGAGTAGGGAGAGGGTTCTGAGAGTGCACAGTCATCACTACCATCACCACCACCATCATCAATCACCACCACCATCACCACCAATGATCAATTACCACCACCATCAATCACCACCATCATCAATCACCATCACCATCATCACCATCAATGACCAATCACCACCACCATCATCACCATCACCACCACCATCAATCACCATCACCATCACCACCATCAATGACCAATTACCACCACCATCACCATCACCACCATCATCAATCACCACCACCATCAATCACCACCACCACCATCACCATCACCACCACCATCAATCACCATCACCATCATCACCATCAATGACCAATTACCACCACCATCATCACCATCACCACCACCAACAATCACCATCACCACCACCAATGACCAATTACCACCACCACCATCACCATCACCACCATCATCAATCACCACCACCATCAATCACCACCACCATCATCACCATCACCACCATCATCAATCACCACCACCACCATCACCACCAATCACCAATTACCACCATCACCATCTTCATTACCATCCCCATCAGCATCACTATCAGAGAGAGACACAGAGATGAGAGAGAGATGGACCCACAGGTTGGCCTTTCGGAAGACATGGCTGGAGACCCACAGCCAGCCCGACCTCTCCTATGCTTTCTGTCCTGGGACAATTTAGCTCTTTGTTGTTCACAATGCGAAGAGCTTGGAAAGCGAGCTGTGCACCTAGCCATCGTAGTCCTGCACTACCTGCCAGGGCACAGCCACCCAAGGTGTGGCGCGTTTGTGGATTTTGTGCCCAC